GAGAACACTCCGAGGCTGACGTCAGCGATAAGGCTTGAGGACACGACGACAATGCCAACTAATCCGTACGATGGTAGTAATGTCTGCGCATCGTAAGCATCGCGTTTATACGCGTTACCAATTTTAAGTGCCCAAGTCGTGACTTGTGACTTCATTCTGCACATTACCTGCCCTAAGCAAGTTATTCTGTGGAATACCTAGTTAAAGAGTAAAATGATGTTCGATTACGTACTTTAACTGCGACTTTCATTTAATATATGAGGTAAATGGTATTTCATAAAATAAAAATTCATACTTTAGCTCCGTCATATTATATTGCCTCGTGAGATTATGACACAGTGCGCCGACAGACTGCAGAGTTAATATTTCCAGCGCTAATTCTCCGGGTAAGTTCACCTACCAGCGGACCAGTCTCTCTGCTGCCAGCTGTCATTTTCATTAAAATCTTATTTGAGCCAACTTCTTGAATTCTGGATATAGTATTTCTTCAGTTTTCTGTTGTGAGGGTGTAAAGACCTTCGCCTTTGTAATTATGATATGGTAATTTACGAGTAGTAATGTATTCTCGGAGGATTGATTATGATGGATAGGAAAACTTCTTTTCTCAAGTCATTCCAGAATTAATGTGATGAATTAACACATTAGTTAACGATTGTATGTAATCTTATTCGGTTCTTCGGATAAGAAACTTCATGAACATAAAATGTATGTTATCTCTTACGAAGGATTTACGTATGTTTCTAAATGGAAAAAAAATATATATATATGTGACGACAAACAGATATAGGCTGGATATATATTTTCTTTCACGCTTTCCAAGCTTCTGACCGGGTGCACGGGGGTTATATAGAAATACAGCCAGGGAAATAGGCTTGCAGACAGAGAAAACACGTAAATAATGAACAGACACGATAAGATAAATGAATATATATATTCACAATTGCGGGATTTGAGGTTATCACGCCGGTGACAGTGAAGATACGCCATTGCGATATGCAGTTTGCGTATTATCAGCAATAATATCGAACCTCCTTGCTATGAATCTCATAACGGAGTATGTCTTGGCGGTTGGCCTGAAGTTATATACGAGTATACCACAGACAAACCACTTAACTCAGACTGACGCCAGCTCACTAACAGTCGCGGGAGACCCCCAGCTAACACCACCTAGCAGCACAACTCGTAACTACAAAGCATGCGCGCAACAGGTCGGTTCCGGTTATTTTTGGGTCCCCCTTCGTATGTCCCAGCATAATTTGAACATCTCTTCCAATAATATAGTTTGTTGATATTTGTAGTTACAAGTTCCCTGGCTTTGTGCGGCTTTTGGTATATCACCTTGGGTACGTTGTTGTGTCTCTGAGAATAGTCAGAACTAGGTATATGGTCCAGTTCAGGGCTAGGTGCATGCTGCAGTTTGTACCCGCATAAAAGGTCTGTTGCCCAGGGTTCAACTCATGGGACACCGTTCCACTTTAACATGAATACCAGACATTGCTTTTGAATTTAACGCAGTTGCTGTTGCTGGATGTGCCATTTAGGTTGTTGTATCTTCTGAATCAGTGAATCGCATCGCGTGCAACGCATTATCCTCAGCAATAATCAGATCTTTGTTTTGTCCCACTGCCGGGTTATCCATATGTTGTGCAATGCAAAGTTCAGTCAGCAATTGAACTTACCAGTGTGGGAACAGGCGTTAATCCGTCTCGTTTGATTTGTTTCAGCCTGGTCAGCCGCACGAGATAGCGTAGTGGTTAAGGTACTATGCTAAAAGCCGGAAGGTAGCGGGTTCAAGTCCCGATGAGGTCATTGTATTTTTTTCAATTGACCTAATCCTTCCGGCCGTACTAGGCCCTTGGGTTTACTCAGACTTTAATAGAAATGAGTACCAGGAATTAATTAAATAATTTTCCTGGGGAGTAAAGCGCGGCCGGCGCGTAAGGCTGACAACCTTACCGCTATCTTCGAGCCGATTGTCAAGGTAATGAGGGACCCTCAACGTCTCACAGCCCTATGGGCCTTCACGGCCTATTACAGGGATAGCTTTACTTTACTTTTTACTTTACTGGTCAGTCACACTAACTATATTATAAAAGGTTAATTAATTCCGTCCAGTGTGACTAATGGAGGTTTTTCTCCTTTTTAATATTTTATGCTTAACATGTTTCTGTATTATAGACAATCTTCAGAAAAATATAAATACAATTAAAAACCATTATTACGTACAATAGGTTTTGCGAATATTAATATATACATAAAATGTTATCATGATACAATGAGTACAAAGTCTAATGTTTTCACAATTACAGCGGCTTGTACTAATACGGTAAAATATTTATAAATTACAGTTAGTATGATTAAAAAGATTTTTGTTAAAATAAGTCATTCCGTCTGAGCTATCCCAAGAACCTCCACGCCCGTAACACCCTGATCCAATCTCATACAACTACTGCCTCTACGGCAATCTCTCTCCGAACTCTTAAATCCATTCCAGAAATAACTGATCACGCCTAATTCAACCCTGAAACCCAATTAAGTATGGACAGTGTAACAGAGAGACGGGAACGCCCTAGGTCAGACCCAGGTAGATGCTCCAGTTCAAAGTTACTCGTAGATACGCCCATTTCAGAAGTAGCCTGACGCATACATCCAGAGCTAGGTAGACGCTGAAGACCATTAGAAGCACACAGGGAGTGACAAGCACTAACACCGCTCTTTTCCAACCCGCCTTTCTTTGAATTTCAGCTCAGTCGGAATGGTGCTATCCCTGCTACACCTGTTTCTACCTTAGGACAGTGTATGATGGCTACTGGAAGTTGTCCTCACAGATCAAACTAAGGAAGGTCGGTATAGGTACGGGAAACTAGCTGGGTCGGTTTGCATGAGTCTCGGGGTAGCGATGCCGAAGCAAGCGGTATTCTGGGAGTTGATCCAAATTGATGTTTATTCACTTACTGTTCTCCAAACCACGCTGTTAATTTAATGTATACTTATGCTTTAAATTATAACATGTTACACTATCTGCAAGCTAGGTCTCGGAGCGTGCAAGGGTCACGTCCGTTCACTTCGGAATATGGTGAAAGTCTCCCTTTTGTGGAATGGCTTGCACCCCCACGCCGGGAATTCGAAAGAATTCGAATTCTCAACGGTGTTGACATATACATGTCATCCCATCTTCCGTAAGGAAGCTTGAACGAGGCAACTCAATCATACTGGCCCTCATTCACAGGCAACTGTAACACGTTCTGACCTGTCCTTCTCATTGACCTTCCTTTTAGGCGCGTCCGGTTCCCTGTACCCGAGCTAAATTTATGACTGCTCGTAAATGTCAGAACTCCAGACTCCTTGGTCCTGCCAGAATCTAGAAATTTCAACATAAACACCGTATTGCACGTCCCAGACAATGAAATACGATATTAAAGATCACAATAAAGTTCCAGTAATATCGAAACATAAGACTTTTGAAATTAAAATTACCAAGAATTAATTAGAAATAAATTTCATGGTCATCTATAATCATCCAAAAAAAATAGGGGCTCAGAATGATCAGCGTCAGCACACATTACGATTGAAATAATACAGATCCTATATGTATTGTTAGCCGGTCACGGTAGCCGAGCGGTCTAAAGCATGCACTGTCTTCGCTCGCTCGGAAGCCGGGATCGTGGGTTCGAATCCCACTCAGGGCATGGATCTTTGTGTGCGTTTTTCTGTGTTTGTCTACAGGTAGAGGCCTTGCGACGAGCTGATCACTCGCCCAAGGAGTCCTACCGAATGTGTAAGATCTAGAAAAACCGAAGTGAACGGAGAAGTTCATGGAGGTAGGCCTAGGCCCACTGGGGCTGTAGTGCCAAGGAAAAAAAATATGTATTGTTATTGGAAACGGTAGACAGTGGAAATAGGTCCGTTACAGAAAAGCGCTCTGGAACTGAATGTACGGCTTCTGCCACACCTGCGTCCATTTCCATGCGTCAGAGACTCTTCCTTCTTCAGAAGTTCAGTGTCAGTTCTTTCAGGATTAGCTGTAATTTTTAAACGTACATATACCGATATGTATACAGCAATCCAATAGGTACTGACTCTTAACCATTTCTGTGTGAGATATTAATTTGTTTGTAATAGCCGTTGTTTATAAGCTGCATTCATGAAATTAGCGAATAGTTAATAGCAGCTGGGGGTGTCAAAGTGGCAGTAGATGAATATGTTGTCACTGATTTCAGTTGATATGATATGAAGTTCTGCTACCTACAGAAGTGTCTGGTGTCACGTTTTGATGAACATGTTCCGTACCGAGTGTATCGTTTGAAAGGAATCACGTACTACGTTACAGAAATGAAATGAGAAGTTGTTTGCTCCTTGTAATAGACTTCCACAACTTTCTCGTCACCTGCCACTTGTAAGCTTGAATATGGGTTAGTGTTTCATTATAAATATTGCACCCCGTATATGGTAGAATCAACCGCCTCTATTGTCTATCGGTCAGCGTTCCTGGCTACAGATCCAGAGGTCCGGGTTCGATTCCCGGCGCTACCAGATTTTTTTCTGAGAAGTAGTGGGTCTGAAACGGGGTCCACTCAGCCTCGTGATGATAATTGAGGAGCTATTTCAAGGAAATAGCGGCTCCGGTCTAGAAAACCGAAATTAACGGCTGTGGGGATTCGTTGCGCTGACCACGCGACACCCTCTATCCGCAAAAGTTAGCATTGAACTTCGCCGACAAGCGGCGGTCGCTCGGTCGGTATAGTTCGCTTGCAGACTAAAATCACGGAGTTTGTTTATATATGGTAGAATCACTTCATCCGTCACCTCTTGACACTTCAAAACAACTCTCTTTTTACGAGTGAAGATTATAAGCCGCTGCAGTTATTGACAAATGCTGGAGAAATTAACTGAAACCACGAGAAGTCTAGTCATAGTCTTTAGTATAGTTAAATCGCGTTCGCTACAATATGCACGAGACACGTACAAACTGGTACTGAAGCTGTCGTGACTTGTTCCAGGTATACTGCATACATTTTGAAGCATGTAACCAAAGTCCTGGGCATCACGTGGGAGCTCCGCGGACGAGAGTACTTGGCAGAAGATAGGGGTTGCGTCATCGTGGCCAACCACCAGTCCATGCTAGACATCCTCGGTGAGAATACATTTCATTTCATCCCTGAAATAGCAGTGTACGGAGGCACTCAGAAAACCCAAATTTTAAGAACAAAATTATGGAGTCAGCTCCCGCACGAGGTTACATGGGAATAGAAACAAACATTTAGAAAAAGGCAACGACAGCAGAAAGAGAATTGTATAGCAGAAGCACTTGTAATGAAAGTAGTTGTGTGTGCTAAGAATCTGTGTACCATAAAAGCTCGGGTGTTATATGGGCACAGATTTATGTACTGTATCGAAACGCAACTCAGTCAACTTCTACTTTGCTTTACTTTACTTTACTGTTAAACTTTCCTTTTTACTTGATAAATGCGAACCTGAAGCTAAATTGTGGGTTTTAATGAACCTCCGCAAATTATAATTCCACCTTGTAAAGGCTGTGTGCCGGTCACGGTAGCCGAGCAGTCTAAGGCATGTACTGTCTTCGCTCGCTTGGAAACCGGGATCGTGGGTTCGAATCCCACTCAGGGCATGGATGTTTAGTTTGTGTGTGTGCGCGTTTTTTGTGTTTGTGTACAGGTAGAGGCCTTGCGACGAGCTGATCACCCGCCCAAGGAGTCCTACCGAATGTGTAAAATCTAGAAAAACCGAAGTGAACGGAGAAGTTCATGGAGGTAGGCCTAGGCCCACTGGGGCTGTAGTGCCAAGGGGGGGGAAAAAAAAAGACTGTGGCTTCTAATAAGTTTAGATTACTCCTGTTATGTGCAGTGAACTGGAAACTGTAGAGCTCAACATTTGTCAGAATTATTCATCTCCGAATAAAGAGCACAGCGCATCATTTTAATTTTAAATTGTTTGTTCTTATTCGCATGATTGGTATAATGCGCAAATTCCCCTGTTTTTGAGATATGAAACTTACTCAACAATTTTTCATTATTCCTTTTGTATTGCTACAGAGTTAGTCGGTCTGACACTGTTTTTATTTGGGATGTTATTTACGGAAGGTTAAGCGGCCTCCGTAGTCTAGAGGTAACGTTCCCACCTCATGACTCGTAGTACGCGAGTTCAAATACCCGCCGGAGGTCGTCTAATTTTTAAGAGCGGGAAAAATTCAGGGAACAAGCCCTCCGGGAGGGACTTTAAGCCGTGGGTCCCGTGTCGTAGCTTTACGGCACGTAAAAGAACCTCATATCTCCTAAGGAGGTCACTGAGCCAAATTAACGGACGTTTCCCGCCCAACAGCAGTCTCTAATACCTCTGGTAGATGGGGGAGGCAATATAGATACCTCTCAGCTAGTAAAAGCCGGTCTCGCTGGCTGGGCGGGACTGATGGTAAGCACCAGTACCGGTAGGATATAGAGACTGGTAGAAATCATAGAGGGAAGCACACTGGACCAATACAGGTCTCAGTGCATGGGGGAACCCACCCTCTCCAATAACTAACTAACTAACTACGGAAGGTTAAGACGTTGACATATTGTCAGGAGGCGCTTTAGTCTCCTTCAAGAGTTACTTTATCCTACTTTTAGATGTAAACTTGGACAAGGACACGAATGGGCCCTAGCGTGTGCATATGCGCTTGCGAGCCACAGTCACGTATCGTGACCCGGAGCGCCAACCCTACTAACGCTGTAGTAACAAATAGCGACTTGTAAATTTAGCTCCTGAAGAATATAAAAATAAATAATTGGCAAGAGAACAATAAAATTATGGTTCTATGGGTATTGTTCAGTCCTCCCCATATGCACCACTTATGTGGGTAAAATAATTGATCATGGATAATAATATTGTAACTAATATGACCGTTGCTAGGCAACGACTCAGTATACACGTTCCAGCGAGCACGCAACAGTAAGATCTGTGTTCTCTGTGGACCATGCTACAACTAGTTGCTAGGTTACACAACAATTCTGACAACAGAAGAGGTGTTTCTATGTGGTTCGCGCCATGCCCAATGCTAGGCAGAGCAACTGTAAACACGCATACCTAATAGAAGGATGTTTTCTATGTTGTCCGTGCCGGAACTGTATAACTAGCGACTGTAGCTAGAGTGGATTAGAGAATTAGAATTGGAAAATTTGATCGAGTTGTCGAGGGTCGGGAGTCCGAGGTGACTGAACAATAAATGGCAAGAAGACTTCATAGTGATTTAAAGTGATAGTTCCTGTGAAGAAATCCTTTGCCAGGAAACGGTTACCATATCCTAGTGATTTGTGAAGTGGGTAGAACAGCAATAGCGCTATAATTGATTGTGATCCAGAGAGATTGTGGGGTGTTAATAAATCCAATCATCCAATCCAGAACCCGTTATGATTGGTCATGGAACTCCGGACACGTGACGGTATAAATTGGAGTGTAAAGGGTTATAATTATTTCAGTAAAAATGGAGGACGGCGTGACTGTTTAGTAAAGACCTAACAAGGGGCATCGTGTTAGGAAGGTTGGGAACCGCTGGCCTAGAGTGGCAGAAGGAAATCACGATAAACATCATTCACGAAACTTAGGACTCTGTCCATCACTGGTATTCTGAACAGCACACGTGTAGGAAACCGTGTCTGTTTCCACCCTCACATGGAAAAGCGAGGAGGCATCTACTTAGTGTAATTTCGTTAGGTACAACTAATCACAATCACTGTACATTTCCCCCTAAATCTCTACTACATATCGTTCTGATTGCGATTGTCTTGCTAAATTACGTGGCGGAGAAGTTTTTATTGCTGTTTCTGAAGCAGATTGTTGGCGCTAAACGTAGACCCGACTTTGAATATTTTCAAGAATGTGTGTGCGGGGAGAAATTATTGTAACTGATGGCGGTTACTTGCATATTGGCAAGGTAATGTTGTCCCTGTGCTCAATTAATTTAAGCACTACGCCATGAGGACGTATGGGGAAGTGGATGTATAGATCCGCGTGTTCTTGACCGCGGCACTAGTTGGAGGTGAATGGTCAGCTTCACTCCCCGGCCGCTTTACCCCCGGGGAAAGGGTCGTCGTTACCCATTGGATAGGAGGTTGGGTGGTCTGGACGATTCGGAGAAGAGAAAATTCTTGACCCTACCGGGATTCGAACTCCGATCCCTAGTCCATCCGGTAGCCAGTCGCTATACTGACTACGCTAGCCCGGCTCCTTTCTAATTGGCAATCATTATTTCGCCCCTGACACCATGGTTGTTATTGTGGCGTATAAACACAATGCTAGGCAAAGACCTCGAAACAAACAACGAGACAACAGCCGTTGCTATGCAACGGCGCGGTAAACATGCCTCTACAACAATAGAGTTACTGTTGGAGAAGGTGTTCTCTACTCAGTCCGTGCAGAAGGGTTATACGGAAGACAATTGGTGCGATCCAGTTAAATTTCTCTGGTTCGTTCCGATTACAGTGGATGTACCACAACCGAAGCGAGTACAAATGAATACCTCAGCCACCTACCAAGGCGACCATTGGTACACTTGACCCATTTATTCAATAATTTATTTCGGCTGTCCCTTTTTCCAAGTCCTTGGAAGGAAGCAAAAGTCGTAACCTTACCGAAACCCGGTAAGGACCCAAAATTCCCTCAAAATTTACTTCCGATTAGCCTCCTGTCCACGACAGGCAAACTTTTCGAGAGTCATTCTGAAAACAGTCCGAAAGCACATTGAAGAAAGAGGCCTGCTTAACGCAGGCCAGTTTGGTTTCCGTGTACGTCACAGCACGACACTGCAATGTTTGAGGCTAGTGGACCACGTAACCCTTAACTTCAAAAATGAAATGTCTATGGCCGCGGTGTTCTTGGACATCGAAAAAAATCCTTTGATACCACATGGTTCTCTGGCTTGATATTTAAGTTGTCAAATTGGAATTTTTTCCAGCTTGATGAAGCTTATTAACTCTTTTCTTTCACGACGAAAACTCAGTTTCGGTGGAAGGCGGAATGTCAACGCCGCCTCAAGCAGAGGCGCCAGAGATTTGGTCCTGTCCCCTACTCTTTCCAATTTGTTCATAAATGATGCCCCCCAAACTCGTGGCGTTCATCTAGCCCTCTTTACAGACAGCACCTGTCTGTATGCGACAGATCGCAAGGAGGGTTTTGTTGTTAGAAAATTCCAGCGCGGTCTTAGCTCAATGGAGACCTAGTGTGAACGCTGGAATATCAAAATTAATTAAGATAAGACTAAGGGGGCCTACTTCTCTCGCAGTCGTCCACCTGTGTCTCATCTTATATTGAACAGAAGATATATTCCATTTGTAAATAGTGTAAAATATCTCGGTGTATTCTCCGATAAAGGGTTACATGGAGATTGAACATAGATGGGATCGAAGCCAAGGCCTTAGAACATTTATTAGAGTATATTCCCTATTTAAAAAGAGCGATTAAGTGCTAACATTAAATTCACCCTCCACAAAGCTCTCATTAGATCTGTAATGACGCTAGTCCCGCCTGGGAATTCGCTGCAGGTACCTATCTACTGAAATTGCAGCGCCTGCAAAACAAGGTTCTCCGCACCATTGGCAATTTTCCAAGGCGCACACCCGTTCGCGATTTACACATTGTTTTCAAAATTCCGTACATATAAAATTACATAAAAAATATGCAGGCAGCAAGCGGAAGTCATACAAAATCACGATAACGAAAATGTTCACAATATTGGACAAGGCGAAGCATGACATAGAAGGTATATGAGGCATCAACTTGGCGGCGGTCAAGCATACGACCGTTCATGTGACTAGACTGCCGTTGTAGCATGAGCTACTAGAAATAGGGTAAAGTCTGCTGTATTGAGCCTGGACTGACAGAGGCCCTGTGTATATTGTATATAGATTTTAACATGTAAAATGTAAAAATCTTTTACATTATGACAAATGATTTGCTACTACAGACAATGACTGTGGCAAAAATAGACCCGTCCTCACGTCAGAGATGGCGCCCCACAAAAAATAAGACTGTAACTGTCAAACAGTAATAAATATCTTGTCATTAGCCCCAGATGGGGCTCGACACCAAGACTTACTGTCAGTCACAATGTGACTTCAACTTTGACTTGACCCAGGTAGT